GTTGACTATTACACCTATGTTAGCTTTATCGAGTGGGACAAGTAGATATACAGTGTACAGTGATGCCTTTTACTTAGGGTTGGATTTTTTCTAATGCATCATGACAAGGTCGTAGCCTATACATCTAGGCAGTTGAAGAGTCATTAGTAAAATTACCTCACCAATGACTTGGAACTTACCCTCATTATCCACGTCTTGAATACCTAGCATCACTACTTATATGGAGGGACTTTTGAAGTTTTTATTGACTATAAGTGCTTGAAGTACATATTCACTCAGAATGATCTGAATTTGCGTAAGAGGTGTTGGATAGAGCTCATCAATGATTATAATTGTAATATTTTGAATCACCTGAGTAAGGGTAATGTAGTAGCTGACACGCTCAGCGAAAAAAGTGCAAATATATTAACTCACATAATGGTTTCTAAATGCAGGGTAAGACAGGTCGCACAATAGATACGACCTCAAGACTTAAAGAGAGTTGTATGTTTGGCCCACCTGACTATCCAACCTGAATTGATTCAGAGAATAAAAGAAGATCAATTAACTGATTCCACCATAGCCACCCTCAACAAAGATGCAAAACAGGGAGTACATCCAGAATTTCGAGTCTCTACCGATAGATTACTCAGGTTTCAAGACAAGGTGTGTATTCCAAATGATAGTGAACTAAAAAATGACATCATGATAGAGGCTTATACCTCCAAGTTCGCCATATATTCCGAAAGTACTAAAATGTATCAAAATATGCGACTCCAGTTTTGGTAGAGCGGGATAAAAAGAGAGGTAGCTGACTTTATTTCTAAGTGTCTAATACGCCAACAGGTTTAAGGCAGAGCATTAATATGCATGCGGGTTACTTCAGTCATTACCAATTCTAGAGTGGAAATGGGAGCATATCACAATGGACTTCGTAATAAGGTTGTCTAAGGCATGCTCAGGACATAATATCATTTGGGTAATTATCGACCGACTCACCAAGTCTTCTCACTTCTTGACTATCAAGATGACCGACCTCTTGAACAAGTTAGCAAAAATATATATCCAAGAGATAGTCAGGTTACATGGGGTTACAGTGTCAGTAGTATTCGACAGAGACTCTAGTTTCACTTCTTGATTTTGGTCTAGTTTTTAGCAAATTATGGGAACGAAATTGTCCTTCAGTACCGCATTCCACTCTCAAATCGATGGACAATTAGAGATGACGATTCGCATACTGAAGTATATATTCTGAGCCTATGTTCTAGACTTCAGGGCCATTGGGATGAACACCTACCTCTAATAGAATTTCCTACAATAACAGTTACTAGGCAAGTATCGGCATGACTCCATATGAGAATTGTATGGCCATTCGTGCAGATCGTCGATCTGTTAGGAAGAAGTGGGTGATAAAAAATTATTTGGCCCAAATTTTGTGGAATAGACTACAGTCAAGATAGTTAAGATCAGGAAGAATATTCAGACAGCTCAGAGTAGGTAGAAAATTTATGCAGACTCCCTAAAGAGGGATTTGGAATTTAAAAAAGATGACCAAGTGTTTCTTAGGATCACTTCTTTCAAAGGGATCAGTAAGTTTGATAAGAGGAAAAAATTAAATTCCTAATTCATTTGACCATTTGAGATCTTAAACCGGATTGGTACGACTGCTTACAGACTGACACTACCTCCATAGTTATCCAGGGTTCATAATATGTTCAATGTACTTATGTTATGCAAGTACAACTTACACCCCTCACACATCTTATCCCACGAGCCTCTTTTATTCAAGGAGTATCTATCCTATAAGGAGGTACCGGTAGACATTGTAAACTGAAAGAGTAGAGTACTCTGCAACTAAGAAATTTCATTCATCAAGATCCTACGGTAGAACCATACGTAAGAAAAGGTCACTTAGGAACTAGAATCAAGCTTCAGGGCCTAGTATCTCTACCTGTTTAACTAGCAAAAAAGTAACAAATTTGAGGGACTAAATTTCTTTTAAAAGGGAGATAGTTGTAATACCCGAGCTCGAAAATTAGCTTGGGATAATTTTACGGGTTATAAAAAATATATATAATTAAAAAAATTTATTTTATTTTAATTTTATTAAATTTTGAGAAAAAATAAATTATGGACAAAATTTAAAATAATTTTAAGAAGAAGGGTGAAATTTTGAGTTCGGTAGATAATTTTGAAAAAAAAATTAAAATCAGGGGGTTAAAGTGTAAATAGAAAAAAATCGATCATGTAGACCGCCCAGTTAGCAGCCTCGATGACCGGAGGGTGCCGCGTGCAAGGCGTGCTGACGTAGATGCCACGCGAAAGGCCACATTGGCGATCCGCTGCCCTATGATTAGACGGTCCAAGATCGATCTCATGCACGTAGATAGCCCGATCCATTTTCACCTT